CAGGCCCTGACCATGCATGCCTTGGGAGCCAGGGGAGTGTCCATGAACTTTTATGCCTTCCTCATTCTTATGATGTTGGCCAACCACCATCAGTTCTCCCAGAGGGACTGGCAGTAAATCTTTTAAGTGCTTATCTGCTTGTTGTGAGGGGTGTAGAAGGGAGCTCCTTCCTGGGGAGACCATGCTTTGCCCAGGAGTGATCATGAACAAAGAAAGATGCTCTTGGTTGGATTAGTAGTGTTAGAATGGGAGGCTAAGCCGGCCACATGCCTGTGGCTCACTGGAGGGGCACAAGATAGAGATGGAGGTGGGCAGGGGAGAAGGAGGGAGACTGAACAAGCAGGGGTGCTGGATGAATTCTTGTTGTTACTTAAAGAAAACATTAAGAATGTTTCCTGCCTTTTCACTGGACACAATGACACTTAGAGGGAAATACCAACAATCTGATTATATATGTGCAATGCAAGACCCAACATAGACTCTGGGCAAGAGGACCACCATATACTTCTGAAAATGCCAACTTCACAAATGAAGGAATGGCCATTCTTTTCCTAAAACTCTACAGCTACTGTTTGGGGAACATGGCTCAGTGGGCAGCAGCACTTGCTTAGAAAGCAAAAGGTCCTGAGTTCAAATCCCTTGTGTCCACATAAACGCCAGGCATGGCCACATGTGCCACCCTAGGATGGCCAGCCAGATCCCCTGTCAGAACTGTTACATTAATATTAACAAAATACATGTTAGTAAGCTTTAAAACCTAGCATTCCTAACTCTATAATCTATGTAATTATGGAACAGAGTTACATCCTACTCAAAACTTTCCCAAACTGGAAGAAATGGGTATGTGTGGGTAGAAAGGCTTTTGTTTTATTTCTTTTTCTTGTTTTTAACATATGAATATAAAAGCTAAGCTGACATCTAAGTTTTAGGAAAGATTTATTTATTTTACTTTAAGCATCTAGGTGTTTTGCCTGTTTGTGTAACTGCAGCGTCCTCAGAAGCCAGAAGAGGGCGGGAGACACCTTGGAAATTGAGTTGTGGATCAGCAAGTGGGTGCTGGGAATTGAACACAGGTGCTCTGAGGAGCATCCAGTGCTCTTACCCTCTGAGCCATCTCTCCAGCCCCACACTATCCCCTCTTTTTTAGACAGGGCCTCACTCTGTAACCTGGGCTGACTTGAAACTTGCTACACAGACCCAGCTAGACTTGAAGTTCTGGGCATCCTATTTCTGTCTCCCAAGGTCTGGATTACAGGTTTGTACCACCATGACTGCCTCTGATGTCTAATCTAAGCCATGAAGAGTTTATGTTAAAAATAAGACTTTATTAATTCATGTCAAACCTGATCCCCACCCCCATTCTCTCATCCTGTATAAGGCAACTGCCCTCTTTAAATCCTTTAAGGAAATTGAGTGTAAATTTATTTTCATGGCCTGGATAGTCTTTGAAGAATGAGGAAAAACAAAATATGCCCATTTTTCCCCTTGGAAAATTAGCTAGACTGTTTTATGAATTGAAACTCTTAAATAATTTTATTTGAAAGAAGCCAGAATACGCATTTATTCCCATATTTCCGGCTTCTTGGTGGGTTGGTGAAGATTTCCAAAGATTCCTCATGCCAGAGTTCTACATGTCTGGTCTGTAAGCTTGTTTTCCAAGCCTGCCTTCAGTTGTTTGTGGAGAAATACGCCTTTCAGGGCAAATGGAAACAGATCTTGGGTCAAGTTCCATGTCTTTGCTCTATAATTAGAATGTATTGAGTGGGTGTTAGGGTCAGGCAGACGAGCAGAGGACTGGCTGTACTTCCTCAACACCCAATTAGATGCAACCTTCCTATGTTATGTGGTTTGTTAGATTTTCTCATGAAACTGGGGCCTTTTGTAAGAAAGGCAAGGAGGCATGTTCCAGGAGTTAGAGAGGTGTGCTCTTTTTTGGTTGTATTTTGTATTTGACTAGGATACCTTCCAGCCCATGCCATAATATATTGGCTCTTTATTTGCTTATTTTTATTTCCAGTGGTAACAGATGTGTGAATGGGTCCATGACCTGGTAGACTCATCAGGGGATGAGGGAGTGGGTGGGATGGTAGATGGAAAGGTAGATGGATAGTCAGTGTGTGGATCTTCAACTCTGAGCAAGTTCTGAAAAATTAATTTCTACCTCTGACCTCTTCTTACAAATGGGCATCTTTCTATCTTTTTCTTCCCAGAATCCCAAGGACACTGGAGTGTCTGGACATCTCCGTGTTTCCGAGGTGAACTCTTGGGGTGAGTCCTAGTTGCCATGACCACAGAGATGGGGTAGGAGAGGAAAAGGCTGGTGTTGGAGAACACTGTGTTTCTGCTGGGAACTCAGGTGCCAGCACATTGCCCTTTGGAGGAAGTAAATAGAATAAGTCCCTGTCCTCGGTCCCAGGTAATGTGAGTAGTTTTCTCCTGCCAACGAAAGCAGAGATTTTGCCAAGCTCATTCCATTTGCTCTTGTGTTTACTTCCTCCTTTGTTTAGGTCTTAGGTCATAGTGTGTCCACTATTGAGTCAATAACCTTCTGGAATGCAAGGGTTGGGTGTTATTTATCAGAATCCCTCTTCTAGGCTTGAGGCAGACTTGGGTAATTAATCAGGGCTCAACAAACATTTGAACAAGCAAAGTTCTATCAGACATCCACATTTCTTGAGACCTCCTCCCTCAGCCTGGGAGTGTGTGTTTATGTGTGGTGTGTAGGTATGTGGGGGACTCAGCTTGTCTGGTCTTACAGTGAGGAGAGAGAGGCCAGTGTCTACTATAGTATCGAGTGACAACGACACCCAGAGAGTGCAGAGAGCTGCAGAAAAAGGACATGGCTGTTGAGTTAATCAGCTCAGTGTCTGGTGCAAATTGTGAGTTCACTGGCTAGGTAGGTTTGCATGAGTACAAGAAACACACTTTGCCGGGTGTGTTGCTGGTGTGCTCTTTTGAAATCAGCCACATGGTGCCAGAATCCTTACTTAGGGGGAGGGGAGAGTGGTCCTTCTCTTCCTGGTCTTTGAAAGGGATTGGAATGGGATTCAGCACATGACCCATTGCCTGCACACAGTTTTTGTAGTACATCTTTTACAGTTCCTGAAGCCCCTGAGAATGTTATTCCAGGGTCAATGGTATTAGTGGCCATATTGGTTAGTGGTGGCAGGGGAGGAACTGCCATGTGTCTCTGTAGAGCTCACCCTTTGCTTGGGCAGCTTTGTTGCTATGGTGAGGTTGGCAGCCAGGGTTGTGGAAGACAGGAAATGTGTGAAGACTGAAGAAGTCCGTAGCAGGCGTGACTGGACTAGGGACTGGAAAGGCCCCACAGAACTCCACCAAAGTAGAGGTGAGGGAGGGGGACCAAGTGATGACAGTAGCCTTCAGAGACCGAAAATGTGCTGGAAATGACAGGAAACATTTTCCGCTCTGTGTTAAAGAATTGTGAATGTACCACCAAAGGGTCAGTTCAACACCTGACGCCTGTGGAAGAAGCCATTCTACAATTCTCCCTTCATCCATCTCACATTAAAACACGGCACTTGGGAACTCCCCCTACAGCACCATCCTGTCCCAGAGCAGCAGAATGGACTCTGGCTTCTCAAAACTCCAGTATCCAAGGGCTCTGAGTTCAGGACTGACTAGTCCAGGCGTGGGAGCTTTCCAGGAGTCCTGCATCTGGGATGAAGATGGCAGCTGGGGTGGAGGGTGGTCATGGGTACTTTCTCCTGCCTCTGGGCAGGAGACCTTTAGAGAAACTCATGAGAGCTGGGGACAGTTCTTCAGGTCACTCTCCCCTCCCATAGCATGCAGGAAGACAGGAATTGGGACAATTTCAGAGGCTCTGGGGTCTCCTGACTCTGTTCACACCCCCCCTTCTTGATTATTATTTCTTTGCTCCCAAAGGTTCTCCTATCCCGTATCCAGAAACTTCTTTAGAAAATTCATTCCACCTTCTATCCAAAAACAGCTCTAAATCCTTAGTCACCCATGGTGTTGTCCCGGGCTCTACCATCAGCTTTTCTTCCAGTGCACAGCTGAGTGATTTGTAGAGTTAGGAAAGGGAATTTGGCTGCTCTTCTGTGCCAGGAGAGCCCTACTCAGCAGTGCCCAAGACACCAGCACCTAAAAATCGCAAGGAAACTCAGAAGATTCAGTATGGCATAAAAGTGATTTAAAAATAGGGTAACAAGTCATCATGGCAAATGCCGGTGACTCCAGCACTAGGCAGGCAGATACATGAAGAGCTGGAATTCAAGGCTGTTCCAGGCTATACAGCTGAGTTAGGAGCTAGCCTGGACTATGTGAGGCTCCGTCTTGGCAACCAACTAACCAACCAACCAAACAAAAACAATAAAGATAATTATAATATACAGTCTCTGTTTGAGCCGTGAGTGTGGTTTTTCTGGCACAAACTGCCATTATACATATTTTATGGGAAGCACCAGCCTTATAGCATTTTTGACTTCATCCAGTCTGAGGCTCTCCTTTTCTCAGACCAAAGGCCCTTTGCTCTTTACCAAACAATTTAGGCCTTGTTCTCATTTTTCACTTGGGATGTTGAAAAAATGCTCTCAGAAACAGTTCCACCATTCAAAAATTCCAAATATATCCGCGAGCTTTTATTATTCTTCAAGATTACAGGAATTTTCCTTGGAAACTATTCGAGTCTGGGTAGAGCTGTTGCCTTTCATGTCTCCTCTTGCTTTTGAAATGCATTTTGGTAAATTGAAGGCTCTGAACTTACATTTATTTATTTAGCCAAATTTAGTCTGTCTAAATATGCTTTGTCATTAAAAAACCCCAAAGAAAAGGTCATTTCGAGCCATCCTGAACCTCAGTTTGGAAAGTGACCCAGCACGATATTACAGTGGCCATTTGTTGCCTACAGCGTTAGCTGGTGTTGACATTAAAAGATGGAGACAGCCGAACATAAAAAAACATCTTCGGGCATTTGAACAAAACCTGGAAAACCAGCTACTCCATCTTCTGGTCCTTACCTTGTCAATTAGACCCCACAATGTGCCAAAGGGTAGGAGCCACTTTATCTTTGTATTGAGATACTCCTCCGTAGAGACGAAGTACATGAGGTGTTGCCACAGGAACAAGAGCTTGGAGGTTGGAGATTCGGGTGGGTGTGGGGCTCTGCGGCTCTCACTTCTTTCCTGATGCCCTGGAGAGGAAAATGGTCTCGTTGGCTTGGTAGCCTCTCCCAGATGGCAAGCGTCTTTACCCCACAGCCATTTCTACACCCAGAGATCTGCCCTGCCCAGGCACAGCTTGAGCTCTGGAAACCCAACTTGGCACTAGACTTGGCACACAGGTTCCTGGGACAGAGCAGGGGACCCAGGAAGGGGGGCACTTTCTCCTGGGACTGAGTACTGCTCTGCTTACCAAGGCGAGCCCATATGGAGCAGTGTGAAAACATAGACCGAACCATCTGCCCTCCTGACCCCGTTCCATTGCTCAGAGGGACATCTGCCTGGATCCCCAGGATCCTCCTGTGTGCTCTTGTTTAGTTAGGCATGACCTCATTTGGAGGGAGGCTCACAGATTTCGCTGAGGTCGTGGTGCCTTCTTCCTATAACAGCTGTGCACTCCCAGGCCTGTCCTTCCACCCTTCCACTCTCCGTGCTGGGCTTCCTTGGGCTCGCCATAAAGAAGCAGCATATTGATGGCTCTGAAGCCTGCAAAGTGGTCTGAGTTAGAGGTGGTGATGTTCGGCCTGTCTGGGGCTTGATACTGACATCTGTGCTCTCTGAAGGTGCCCTAGCCACCAGAAAACATCTTCTGCTGTCTACCAGCTGAGACATGTGACTTTATGGTGACTGAGGCCTATCAGCCCGCTCCATACATCTTGTTTTACTCTAGGAGGCCGCCTGAGGCAGCCCACCTCTCTTTGCCTCAGTTACTCTCTCTAGAAAATGGTTCAGGTACCAGGTTAGTACAATGCTGATTAGCATCTCTAAAGAGAGAAGAAGCTAGCTGAACAGTACAGGCCTATAACACCAGTGAGTCAGAAGGTTGAGGCAGTCAGGGGGATCACTGCAAGTTCAAGGCCAGTCTGGGCTACATAGCCAGACCTTGTCCTCAATTAAAAAAAAAAAAAAGAGAAGACAAGAGAAGGGATCTTGGGGAGCCTGTGGGGAAATGTTTGAATAGAAACATTTGTTCTTTTCACAGGGTGACCAGGCCAGCTTGACCACCCATGATGCAAAGAACTATGAGGAGGTCTCTTCTGGTCTTGGGTGTACTCTTGCTGTTGTTAGGGTGTGTCCGGAGCAGTCCAAGGTGAAGCTGCCTGTACCCTATGCTGAACACAAGGTGCATCCTTACACTTGGCTAAGGTGACTCTAGAAGTCATCTCTTACCTGGGACAAAGTAATAGCCACTGTGTGATAAGAAGCTGGTGAAAGATTAACCTGCCACATGCCTGAGCAAAGTCACAAGTGGCCTGAGGTCATCCTGGTCTGACTCATGAACTTGGCGGCTTCCAGCCACACCTGCAAAGCTGATGCAGGAGCCTGACGCTGTCTGCGTGAAGCTCGTGTCATGCCAGATGTGCAGCAGGCACTGGACAGGTGGCCAGAGTCAAAATTATATACAAAAATTCATTCAGTCTCCTGTTCACTTACTGAATGGAATAAAATAAACTAGCTGAGCAGGGAGTTACAACAGCTGCCACTTTCCCCTTTCCCCTGTGCCAATGCCCTTTTGCCCTGTTTTATGGAATCTTCTTACCCTGGTCCATAGCTCAGGCGATCCCATGACTGCTGGGTCCACTTCAGGTATACATAAACTGCCTTCAGTATACAATTGTAAACATGTCCAGCCTAATATAGTTTAAATGATGTGCATAAAATTCTCCAGTATTTCCCTTTCCCTCAGCTCAAGCCTGACCCAACCTCTAAGATTGTACTGTCTGTCTGATAGGATCATGCAAGGGGCCCTGCTTTTCTCTGGTTGTTTCTGGCTCCTAAGCCAGCTCAAGTGGGGAGAGGGGTTGGGGGAGAAGCCAAAGTGCCGCTTTCCTTAGCTGTGAGTGCTGTACCGAAGCCTTTAATGTCCTCTGGCTTCAGATGCCGGGGTACTGGTTATTTCTCTCTCTCTCTCTCTCTCTCTCTCTCTCTCTCTCTCTCTAATTTTCTTGTAAGGCGTTTAGCAGGCCTGGATCCCATGCCCTGCAGTGCCTAGAACTGGAAAACTGCTTTCTCTGGCCAACTCAGAATTCCCCTTCGACTCCAGTGCCAGTGGGATTCTCCATGTGGACTTCAAATGCCAGGCTCACTTTTCTGTGGTAGCCAGGGCTCATCAAGATGACCCATTCCCAAGTACGGGGCCCCTAGGGCTCTTGGTCATCATATCATGTCTTTCCCAGCAAGCTCACAAGTGCAATCTTTGCCAAAAATCGTTTACTTCCAACCTTCAAGACTGTTCATCTCAGCAAATACCCACCAAGAAGGGAGAAGTTTCTAGATTTGCTCCTAGCTGATTTCCCCAGTCTCTGAGTAGGAGAAACCATCCCTCTTGGCTCAGCTGTGGGGACTGTTGCATGACTATTTCTGGGGAGTTATGAACTAATACCTACTCACCCAGCTTGTCACTGATGTCATCCCAAAGTCTAGCAGGATGAAACAAGTTTATTGGAGTTAATTGCAGGGAGGTGGGTGAGAGGCTCTCCTGACGCATAGGTGACTCAAAGGCGTCACTGGAAACCCTTCCTTAGCAGATTCTACAAAGCTGCACCCTGAATATCCCTGCATGATATGCAGGCAGCCCCACTGAGAATAACCCCTCCATCAACTGTTAGCCACGTATATAGCCCTGGAGGGGCCTGGTCAGTCCCCCAGCTTTCCTAGCGACATCATAGTGCAAGTTTCCTAAGCTCTGTGAGCTTCCCAAGCCTCATGATTCTCCTTCCGCCCTTTGCTGGGGTGTTGCAGGCTGGAGGAAATAGCTACCCAACATGGATGTAGTTTACTCCTTGTCTCAGTGAGACAGAAGGGAAAGAAATGCACAACAGTGGTTCCAGTAACCCATTAAAGTCAGCCGCAAGCTCCAGCTGCATCCATGTCTGCATGTCGGTCGCTGCTGTATCTGCAGGTTAGTCTACCACTATATCTGCATGCTGGTCTACTGCTGTATCCACATGGCGGTCCACTGCGATGGCCAACTCTTGTCAGACCCCACCTGGATGGTGAGGCACATCTCTCTGCAGGATGGGGCCAGTCACTAGTTGCCCATCTCAGCTCTGAGCATCAGTGGAAATTCTCAGGCAACATAAAAATTCCAACTTTCTGTTATTTTTCATTCATTAATTCATAATAGTATTCAGTATTGATCCTATGCCCAAACTATGCCAAGATGCACTCTAAAAGAGAAAACCTGGCAATGACTTTAACTCCACTGTGACTTCTTTTCTGGGTGAGCTGGGGATGCCGCTGATGGCTGGTCACCTGAAACCTGCCAAGGGCATTTGGCTTGGGCCGTGAGTGGTATCACCAACCCATAATTCTGGGACTGTGAAGGTTGAGGAAGGAAGATCCCAAGTTTAAGGTCATCCTAGAGTCTATAGTGAAACTCAGTCTGCAAAAATAAAACAAAAATAAAAAAAAAACAAGCCTAACACTACTGCCCGGAGCTCAGTCACTCTGCACTAGTGCACACCTATGAAGACAGGCGGTTGTGACTTCACGTGTGGAATGATGGCCCCAACTGTTCAAGCTGCCAAAGAGGCTCTGAGTCATCACTGACAAGCTAATCATCTGAATTTAGTGTTGAGTATATTTGGCTGATAATCTGATTCCTTAGCAAGTACAGACTTAATTACGTTTCTATTTTAGTACCAAATAGACACTTTAATGGGAGAATCCTCTGTGATAGAACATTTTCTAGATAGCATCGCATCGTTTGACATGACTGGAGCCAGAACCTTCTGTATTGTTTGTTATGGTAGCTCTTTTTATGACAGTTTTATGCATACATTTCTATGCGAGGTCTCTTCCTTTTGTAAGTTTTATTTTATTAGATTGGATTTTCTTGATATTTTCCTATTTGTAAGTGTTTGTTGATTTATTAGTATTTGTCTGTTTCTGGGTCAGGTTCTCACTATGTAGCCCAGGCTGGCCTCAAATTCATAGAAGTCCTGAAGCCTCAGGCTCCCAAATGCTGTGATTACAGGCACATACTGCCATGCTGGGTGGCATTTTCTCTCTTATTGCTTGCCCATAGTGCCACTTTCTTGGCTTTAGTGGATGACTTATTAAATACGCAATTCAGCTTGAGTCTTGTAAGAAGGTTGTTTTAAAACCCTGCACTGGTTTTCAGCAAGGCCAACCACAAACACACAACTTCCAGGTCGGCCTCATTGAAGGGGAGTCTGGATGTTTTGGATTTGGGAAGATTTTTTTTTCCAATCTCAGTCTTAGCATAGAGGAGAAGTTTTACCTCAGCCAGGCATAGGAACACACACATATAATTCTAGCATTTGAGAAGCTGAGGCAGGAGGATCGCCTTGGACTAAAGACTCCCCTAGAGTCGAAGGGGAGTTTAAAACCAGCTTGGACTAAACAGTTAAGTTTCAGCTCAGCCTTGGCTACAAGGTGAAAAATCTCTTTCAAAAGAAAAACAGACAAGCAACCCCCAAAACAAGCCGCAGACAAACTAAACAATGATTTAGTGGAGGAAAAGTGCCATAGACTCTGTTGCCAGACATTACATTTCTAAAGTGTTGTATCCTAACTCTGCTCCCTAATGTAACATAAAACTTGGTTAACCTTATAAATATGATTTTCAAGAGCAAAGACATCTCCCTTCTTCCCCTATTAAGCCTAATTTGCATATCAGTGCATAGTCCAAAGTATTGGCAGATATTTTAAAGGGAATCAAAGTGTAAGAATAACTGCCTACATGAAGATGTGTTTTAAATCGACCCCATTAGTCACCTTCTTTTTGAAAAGCAGAAAAAATAGGCACCTAGGAACAGCAAGCTGTCACTCAGGATTAGGAAAAGTCATTTACAAACAGGAGCTTTTGCCCTCTCTGCTGGGGGAGGCCAGGCTTGTACATTTAATTACACAGAAGACCCTCGCCAGTGGGTTTGCCTGTTGATCATCCATATTCATGCCAATGGCAGTAATGGCAGCCCCAAAGGACAGCTTTGGTGGCAGAACTGATAGGGCTTCTTGGGAGCCTTCCAGAGCCTGCCAGTACTGTCAGACTCTGCCTGCAAACCGTGCTCTCACTTCCTGAAGGCCACTCACCTTTCTTCCCTTTCTAAGACAATCCTGAGAGGAGGGCTCTCCTGATCACAGACCACAGAAGCAAGAATCTAACACTACCTGCTCAGGAGTCATCTCCCCCACCAGCCATGAAGCCGAGCATCAAAATACTGTGTTCATATCCACACCCAAGCAGGTTGAATTTCCAGAAGGTTCTTTTCATACCAGTTAGGACAAGTATGGAACTACAGGCAAAAGAGATGAAAAGAAGGAAGCAAACATCCAAAGGCTAACATCTGGGTGTGAAGAGTAGAAGTCCGACATCTGGATGGAAGAGCTTCTTGAGGAGCCCGGCATGTGTCTGCCTTGGGCCAGTGCAGTGGAGAGCTTTTGTCCCATAAAGCCACTCTGCTGACATTGACTGATCATCGGCAAATGTAGGACCTCAGACTGAAGAGCCACAGCCTGGCTCTCAGAGGGAGGGAGCCCAGCACTTTGGGAATGTCCTCAAAGCTGGAAGTTCTGTCACAGGAGCTTGGCAGCAGCAGCAGAAAAGAACAGTGGGTCAGGTCAACCTCTTGCCTGCAAGTCTGGGCCTTGGGTGGTTAAGGGGAGGAACTAAAGCATTACAGGACAGATTTGAATGTAGAAGACAGCTCCTGCTGGAGGGGCTTTCCTTCTCTTGAAGGTGGAGAGGAAAGAAAGAAGGAAACAAACAGTGGCTTCCCCAAGAAGTTTATGACCGTAATTATAGCCATTGAAGTTGATTAATTTCACATAGCCATATTATATAGGAACTTTTATATAACAATGAAAATTACATTAATTTGTCAAAAACAAGGAACTCAGCATTTTAAGTGAATGAATTGTGTGTTATCTGAATCCCATGTATTTATTTTTTCCTGGAAATGGAACCCAGAGTTCCATGCATATCAGGGAAGCATCTATTTCTAGCATGGTATCTGAGTTGGTGCCTCAGGAGAGCTGTTGATTAAAAATGGCATCATGCCAGGCATGGTGGTGCACACCTTTCATCCAAGTTCTTGGGAGGCAGAGGCAGGTAGATCTCTGATTTGGAAGCCAGCTTGGTCTACAGAGTGAGATCCAGGACAGTCAGGGCTACATGGGAAAACCCTGTCTCAAAAGAAAAAAACCAAAACCAAAACCAAAACCAAAAACAACAAAAAACCCCCACAAAAACCAATAAAATAAAATAAAACAAAACAAAAAACAAAACAAAACCCAAACCAAATCAAAACAACAACAACAACAACAACAAAAGCTCCAACCACAAACTAATAAACAAAAAAAGAAAGTGTGTGTGTGTGTGTGTGTGTGTGTGTGTGTGTGTGTGTGTGTGTGTGTTGGAATGCATACACACTGGGGATGTGGTTTACAGTTTCCTAGTTAGTGCACTCATGTCAAAATCATCAGAGGGATGACTGGGCAGGATGGTAGGAGAAGGGTTACCTCTCTGCCTTTATCACTGGTGCCCAGGAGAGAGAAAAAAGTACAGTGTGATAAATACTAAATTCCACTGCAACATTACAGCTTCATGTATTTCAGTGGCGCTGTAAAACTCAGAGACAAAGGAAAATCAAAGGCCTTCCTCCCTGTGAAGCTCTCCAACCTTCAGCAATTTCTTCCATCACTCCTGAATTCCCCCCTTTCCATCCATTTCCCTCTTGCCCTCATCATCCTCAGTAACACTCACTTTCACTTTGTATACCCCTCTGAGAGTCCGTGACCCTGATTTCTCTGGTGTGAGACAATGAAGCCCACTTCCCAGCTTGGTCTTTGATGACAGATAAATGTCCAGAACCTCAGGTACTTGGGTCATGCGTGACTGGACTATGAAAAAAAAAATCCTGCCTCATCAGAAGCACACCTTTAAGGTTAAGGGGTGGGGGTGGGAGGCAGGCCATACTAGGTCCCGGTCAGTGACCTGCTCCTCTGCCTGGAGACCTGGAGAGGGTTATGACCTGGGCTTTGGCCATAATGTGTAGATGATGGCCTCTCCTTGGAACTTCGTGAGGAAAATGTAAACATAAGGATGGGTAGTGCTCAGAAAACAGTGACTCACCGCCTTGTCCAGAATTTATCTCCCCCCCCCATCGGGGGCAGAGAAGAGGGCACCAAGGTAGAAGGAAGCTTCCATCCCCTCTGAAACTGAGGAAGGGTATGTCGGTAAATCAACCATGCCCTACCCCTTTCCCCCTGGTTTTGCCAGCATGACTGTTGTTCCTGTGGGTTCATGCCGTGGCGGGTGGGAGGAAGCCATGAGCCCAGACTTTCATGTCATGTCCTCATTCAGCTGTCTCTGCCCAGGCTGGGTGTACTCTCTCGGTCCAGTGAGTCATGAGTGTGACCAGGGGTCACATAGGATGAGCCTGGCCACCTCTTGTCCAGCCCTGTGGGTGAGTAGAGCAGGTAGTAGGTGAGATACCTTTTACAGTCCCTATGGCCACATCAAGTGATGTGATCACCAGAGAGCCTTCTCCCTAGTGCCCTGCTTGGCAGTCTTCCATGGGTTCTGTGTGTGAGCTCTGACGATGGTCAAGGCTGGGCAAGGTGCCATGCAAAGTGAGCAAGGCAGGAGCTGTGAACTAGTCATCTGAGGCCCTTCAGGCTGGGGAAATGATGAGCAGAAACTAGGCTTCAATTTTCACTAGCGAGGGTGGGGACAAGTCATAGAAACCCACAAGCTGGCTTACACACAAAAGCAGTGGTTCCAGCCGCTTTTCTAGATCGTTCCACACTTGGTGTCATGCTTCTCTGGGAATCCCCACTGTCTCCTGCTCCACCCAGAGAAGTTTGTTCAAGAAGCTTCCGGTCTCCCTGGGAAGGGAGAGGGAATGCATGAACTATCAGCTCACTGCCTTCCTTTCTGTGCTTGTTTGCAGTTTCCCTTGTGTTCCCCAGCCTTCTGAGCTATGAGAGAGCGACCAGGTGTGGCAAGCCACCTCATCTCTTAGGAGCAAACTTTGTATGCCGAGAAGCTCCAGCCCCACCCTGGAAACCTGTAGCTCTTCTGAGGCCAGAGTACTGGGCAGACTTCCCAATGCTGGCCTAGCCTGTTTGGGATCCTGGGGGTTCCAAAGGGATCCTGGGGGTTACTGGTTCCTTTCCCAAGAACAAGTTGCTTTTGCAGCCACCCCGAATGCTGTTGTGTGCTGAAACATAAAGGTAGCACTCTGCCAGCCTTTTGGGGAAGGTAGCAACAGACTCCTAGCTTGGGTCCCTTCCTTACCCTGTGCCCTTGCCTTCCTTCCTTTCATGCTTACCTACCGTCAAGCACAGGTGGGCTAAGGATGTACCCAGGGCCCATTTCTTATCTTGTAAGAGATAGCTGGTGATAGTCAGGACACATGGATTAAAAATGGGAAACATTCAGGAGACCTGGGCCTTTTCTTTGGCTGGACAAACTCGTGGGTCCTCTCTGTGAGGTTCAACCTTTAAGGATCAACCAATAAGAATCCACAAAGCTGGCTAAGGAATGGCTCAGTGGATAAAAGCACTTGCTGAATAAGCATGAGGACCTGGTTTGAAATCCCTAGAACTCATGAAAAAATCAGGGTAAGTGTCCATAAACCCAGAGTCCAGGTAGCCTGGTGTACGCAGTGGGAAAACAACACAAGAGACCCTGACTCAAACAAGGTTGAAGGCTAGGACTAACACACACACACACACACACACACACACACACACACACACACACACACACACAAGGTGGGGCGTGTAAGGAAGTAAGAAAGCTTAACTGGCAGTTCTCTTGCTGCCCTTAACACAGAGGGTGAGCAGGTGGAGGAGGAGGACATGGTTTAAATGACATGATCGGATGGGGGTGCTGAAAATGAACAAAGGTGTGAATCATTCCACAGCTGCTCCCCCTGGCATTTATTGTGGCTTTAAAATCTGTGAACATATGGTAACGGCTGGAAGCATGGAATAGCAGTTGGAGACATGTAGATAAAGGGAAAAATCAGGCACTCTTATACTTCCCATCTTGCTTCTTGGCAAAATGCTGGCCCTTTGTGCTCCTGAATCTGAAGAAAGTGCAGGACAGCAAGTCCTCTTTCCACAACCCTCACCCACCAGTTCCCATCTCTTACAACAGACATGAGGCTTTTGGTTGCTGGCTATAGTATTTTTAAGCACGGTGTCCTTCTGTGATTTTTGTTGAATCTGGCTAATTCCATTCTTGGTTTTAAATGGCCAATGGGGTGCTGGAACGTTGGGAAGGCATCTGGGATTTGGGGTGACACTTGGGATTCTGGCCAGGTGTCCTAGTTTATTTTCTGTTGCCGTGATAAACACTGACCAAAAGCAACTTGGGGATGAGATGGTTTTTATTTGAGCTTACAGCTTATAGTCCATCATGAAGGAAAGCCAGGGCAGGACTCAAGGCAGAAACTGGAAGCAGGAACTGAAGCACAGGCTGCTTAGTGGCTTGCTCAACCTCCTCCATGCCCCTCCCCATTTTTTTGATACAGGGTTTCTCTGTGTAGTCCTAGTGACCTGAGGCTTACTCTGTAAACCAGGCTAGCTTTAAACTCAGAGATCCACCTGCCTTTGCCTCCTGAGTGCTGGGATTAAGGGTGTGTGCCACCATGCCCAGAATTGATACCATTTTTTTTTCGAGACAGGGTTTCTCTGTGTAGCTTTGGAGCCTGTACTGGCACTCTCTCTGGAGACCAGGCTGGCCTCGAACTCACAGAGATCTGCCTGCCTCTGCCTCCTGAGTACTGGGATTAAAAGCATGCACCACCAATGCCCGGCGAATTGTTACCATTTTATACAACCCAGGATCACCTGCCCAGGGATGGCACTGCCCAGAGTGGGTTGGGCTCTGCTATATCAATAACCAATCAAGAAAATGCCCCACAGACAAGCCACAAGCCAATTTGCTGGAAGCAATTCCTCAGTTGAATTGAAGCCCCCTCTTCCTAGGTGACTCTAGCTAATATCAGCTCAACAATAGACTAACCACATAGGTGTCTTCTCCTTCCAGGGCCAGGTGTCCTCTGAGTGGCTACTTAATGCCCACTCCTGCCTCTGCCTCCCCAGTGCTGGCATTAAAGATATACACTATCAGCTGAGATTTCTTGAATTTGGAAAACCTTATCTTTTTCTTCTCATTCTATTTTGTGTTGTTTCTTTTTCTTTTCCCCCTCTTTTATTAAACTTAGATTCTTTTCTCATACAATATAATCTGAACACAGGTTCTCCTCCCTCTACTCCTCCCAATTCTTCCCCTCATCCACTCCCTTTCAATCTCTCATTAGAAAAGAACGGGCTTCTAAGAGATAACAACAAAGCAAAATAAAATCCAATAAGATAAAACAAAAACTATCGCATCAAAGTTGAATAAGCCAAGCCAACAGAAAAATAAAAGAGCCCCAGAAAAAAGACACGACTGGCTCATTCACACGTTCAGGAGTCCTGTAAAGCACTAAACAGAGAGCTGCAGTGTGCATGCAGGGGACCTGTGCAGACCCATGCAGGCCATGTGCTTGCTGCTTCAGTCTCTCTGAGTTCATATGAGCTCTGCTCGGTTGTTTTAGAGAGCCTTCTTCTCCAGGTGTCCCCCATGCCCCTGTCTCCCCAACTCCTTCAGCCTCCTCTTCCACTGGTTCTCTGAGCTCTGAGGAGAGGGATTAGATGGAGACATCCCATTTAGAGCTGTGTGTTCCAAGGTCTCTCTGTGCATAATGTCTGGCTGTGGGTCTCTGCATCTGTTCCCATCTGCTGCTTGAGGAAGCCTCTCTGATGATGGCTGAGTAAAGGCCTGATCTATGAGTATAGCAGAGTGTCATTAGGAGTCACTCCTGTTACTTTCCAGTGCACTAGGTTTCCATCCCACCTCTCAAATGTCTCTCAATTCCAGCCGTCTCTCCTCATTCCTTCCCCCAATACCATCTTCTCTCCCTCTTTCACCTGATCTTCCTGACTGTCCCCTCTTCCATCCACCATAAAATACATTATTTTACCCCCTTCCAGGGAGATCTGTGTGTCCCTCCCCCGATTCCCTTCCTCTATACCTGTCCTCCCTGGGTCTACAGATTATAGCTGGATTATCATTTATTTAATGGCTACTATCCACATGTAAGTGAATACATACCATATTTATCTTTCTGGGCTTGGGTTACCTCTCTCAGGATGATATTTTTTCTAGTTCCATCCATTTTCCTGCAAGTTTCATGATGCCATTTTTTAACAGCTGAGTAAAATCCCTGTTGCATAAATGTAGCACATTTTGTTTATCCATTCTTCTGTTGAGGGATAGCAATGTTGTTTTTAATTTCTGGCTATTATGAACAAAGCCACAATGAACATGGTTTTGAGCAAGTGTCCCTGTGGTAGGATGAAGCATCCTTCGGATGTATGTCCAAGAGTGGTATAGCAGTATCTTGAGGTAGATTGCTTGCCGTCTTTCTGGGGAACTGCCACACTGATTTCCATAGTGACTATACAAGTTCGCACTCCCACCAGCAATGGAGGAGTGTTCCCCTTGCTCCACATCCTGCCCGCATGAGCTGTCAATTGTGTTATTGATCTTAGTCATTCTGACAGGTGTAAGATGGAATCTCAAAGTAGTGTTGATTTGCTTTCCCCTGATGAGCCAATGAGTTTTTATTGAGGTTCCTAACAAGAGTATTGTGAGTATTGTAAGTATTCTTACAAGGAGAAGGAAAGCTCGAAAGCAGCTGTGTTACCAGAAATTTCCCCCAGTGCAGTGACAATACTGGAAAACTGCATCCCCAAGCCACTACGCAGCCTGCTGCAGCTCTACACTCTGGACATCTCTCTTTGTCTTCCTGGTGTGGCTGATCAGTCTCCAGTCCCAGCAACTGTTCTCTCTAGTTTATACTGTTGGTGGAGGCCCTCGAGAGTCTTCCAAGCCTCTGCTCTTTCGAGATACATGACCTTTTGTTTACCTCCTGTTCAACCCTGAGGCTCCTGAGCCTTCCTCTCTTTATAGGGCCATTGTTTCAGTTTGGAGGGAATTTTGTAATTAGGACAAATATGCATGTCATAGATAGTTATGAAGCCAACAATGATTTGGGGTGGTCTCTGCGTTTCAGGGTGTTTTCAGTCTGTGAAGTCCCTTCATACCCAATGGTGGTGAAGTCACAGTGTGGGGATTTGGGTAGAAGCAGCTGCTGTTGTGTCTTGCAAGGTCAAGATCCACATGGTATCTCTACAGCTGGGTGAGGGACAGACCTCATTAGAGGGTCGTTTACAGAGCTGCTCCTCTTTACTGCCAGATCCTCACCTCAGGTGGACAGTTGGTTCATTTGTTTGGAGGTCCTGCAGATGGGGCCCTGTGCAAGCTAGGGAAGGGCTCTACCACTGAGCTTCACCCTCCTCAGTCAGTCAGGTTTGGGCATGGCAGCATGGGCATGGCACAGGTTGTTGATAATAACCAACCCTACTGTCTTGCTCTTTCCCGCTTGGGTAGGGTGAGATGCTGGTCCATGGGAGGCAGAACCCTACAGAGACTCTGCCCTAAAGGCCAGCCATTCTATTCTGAGAGCCCCCTCCTCCCTGCAGATGTCATCCATGCCCCAGGCTCTTACCCTCCCCTCTCTCTCTCTGCTTTGCTCCTGGCATGTATCTGCTCTCCTAGCCAGTGTGCTCAGTCATAACATCAGCATCAGAAAAGGCTTCACCTG